TTTCATATTTTTGTGAAAGTAGTGAAATCATTGCGAGTATAGTTGTTCTTCTGTTGTTGCAACAGCGCATTAATTTGAAACTTGAAGGCATATTGAGGTCAGCAACGAGGGAGGCATGGAAGAGAAAATTTTAGTTTAAATCCTAACTCAGAATAACCTTTACAAATAGGCTCGGAACTAAAAAGAAGAAATACTAGTGATTCCATTACTTTCAAAAAATGTTAAAGGAAAAAAGCACTTTCAGCATAACCTTTTCGCGTAAATTCATCAGTCAAATGCATAAAAAATTCCACTGCATTATACTAGAACTCTTCATGAGTATATTACCTACAAAATTTTGGCGGAAAAAGACAAGAGATGCAGAAATCACTGGAATGAAGGTTACTTCTTACAACTCTGTAAAATAATAACTCGTTAGTGTTTTAAAATAAAGCACAACTTTTTTTTGCAAAATTTTGACGTTCGAAACATACCATATTTTTATAACCGCCTTCTGTAGCCCTCAGAAGCGACTCAAGACGGTTTTGCCGCCGTAAAATAAATGGGATTACTGTAAAAACAATGTGTTTTATTCAGTTTCATACTCTTTTTTGGGCTCTGAAATCTCGATACAAAAAAGACGCTCTCACCAAGTTCTGATAATTTGTAGAGCAAATAATTTTACACAAAAATGTTTGTTTTTGAAAACTTTAAAGATAAATCTTTTTCACATTCGTTTGGGATCTTGCTTTTACCCGATTTATAAAATTTTCCAACAGAATTAATTTTTTTAGTATGCACTGAAAAGTACAGGACCATGAAAAACCCAATGAACTAGAAAAGACGTTGAATTCTATAAATTCTCTAAAGGAGAGGGCAGATTATAAATGTGCAGTGTAGGCATTTCAAGCGGCAACCTGGCAGATTTTGCAACTTTGAGGGGTGTAACCTGATGGGGAATTCACTTTTCAAGTTTTTTTCTTCTTTCTTTATATCGGTCTAGACTCTAAGAGCAAAAGATAAGTTTTGGGACACGAAGGAGAAAGTGCACCATTTGGTGTGGAATCGCCCGTATATAAATATAAATATAAATAAATAAACATATACATACAACAAACAATTGGCAGAAGACATTTAATTTATAACTTAAGAAAAAACCTGAGGGACTACAGCAATTGCTCTTCGGAGGCTTTCTAAATCGACATCAGTAATTTTCTGACCATTGATTAGTATATCACCACTTCCGACATCAAATAACCTATATAACAAGCGAACAATTGTTGATTTTCCACTGCCACTTCCACCAACAATTGCCACCTAAAAGGATCAATTTAGGAGTATGCGACAGATTCATAACGTGATCGCGTTAAACCTTGGTGAAAGCAACAGCAAATAAGTTACAGACCTTTTTGCCAGCTGGCACTTCAAACGTCACTCCTTTTAATATAGGCTGCCCAGGCAAATATCCAAAGGTGACATTCTTAATAGATATACTGGCAGTCTCTCTTGTGATTCTCAAAGGAGGTGCGTTCGGTTTCTCCTGTAAATAACTCGATCAAGTTCCAACATTACGCGAATTGGTTTATAAATCTACTTAAAGAAAAAGAAAAAAAATACTGGTTGAAATAATGAGTAAAAACTAACTACAATGCTGCTTTTCAAATACAACAAGGAAAACATCATTTGCATATCAACTAATCCCTGCCGGATCTCTCTGTACACCGACCCCAAGAAATTAAGAGGTACTGAAAGTTGGAACAGTAGCGTATTTGCCAAAACCAAATCGCCAACATTCATTGTGCCTAAAACTACGGTTAATAAAAAATTTGCGAAACAGAGATAAAACTTTATGAATAAAAAATTATGTATATATATGCACACATATAAATTTAAAAAATACTATAACAAAATGATTTACAGACACATTTCTAAAAACAAAACTATAAACAAAATCAGAAGATCAACCTTAACAAAGAGTTTTTATAAGAAGGAAGAACAAAAAAACTTTTTGTGGAAGAAAGTTTAATCTTCCAAAAACTTGCAAAAACAGTTTCAAACACCATTGATTCTTACTAAAAATTCAAATTCTTTTAGTTCTCTACCCCGTACGAAATTGCTGAAAAAATCTAAAAAAATTATCGAGAGATTAGAAATGAACCGTTCTGAATATTGACTGCAGCAAGACACATAATGGCAATAAGTCCAGAACTGAAGATCGCGTTCTGAACAAAATTCAGAAGTGCCAGAGAAGTACTAGTCTTCAGAGCAGCAACCTCGTATTTTTTCAAATAGAAATCATAACGATCAGCTTCAAATTTTTCATTATTAAAATACTGAAAGAAAAAGACCATAATGGAAAACTTGTTAAATATAGTCTACAGCATACCAAAAAAAGCTTGTCTTACGTAATTTTCAACTGTCTTGCTAAAACAAGTAATGCAATAAAAGTGTAATGGCGCGAAAGAAAAGATTAACTCCTTAATCTTAAAAAGTTAAACAGTCCTGTTAATTAGTTTTAGCTCAGACTTCAGTTATAAAAAGTAGAAAAGACGCTAGAAATAGTTAAATAGCTAGTCCAAAGAAATAAATAACCAACTTTCACTGTTTCATAATTAATGAGAGAATCCATCGCTTTGTTACCAGCATCATTGTCTGCCTGGTTCATCTGGTGTCTGAATCGTGTCCTCCATCTAGTTATTCCCAATGTTGCAATGGTGTACGTTGATAAACAACCCAAAGTAGCCAAAGCAAAGTCGGTCCCACATTTATAATACTGCAAATGAAAAATGCTGAAAATTTATAAATATTTATCTTAAAGTCAATGAAATCATTGTCTACGCCATTGAAAAAATTTAATGATTTTTAATTTTATTAAGATTTTAATAGTCATCTGCTTGTTTTCTTCTCTCTTTATGAAACTACTCTTACAGACAGAAGTCAGTAAATTAATGCCATTGTCAAAAAATAGCTCCGAAAATAGAGAAGACTTAAACTCCGAGTTCAAATAAAATAACAACAAGCGAATTTTTAAAACGTTCCAGTATCTGATCACAGACTAAATAAAAAACTAACTGTTGAAATATATGTACCCGTACAGTCAAAAATTAGCTGTTTAAATTTACAGAATTCATTTTAAAAAAGAGAAATTAGAAAATCAAATTTTTTGGCGACTTACAAATATTCCAGTAACCATCGAAACTTCTAAAATTGTAGGAACTACGTTGAATACGAGGGCATTTAAAACGAAAGCCATACCTTAACTTATTAAAAATTATCATAGCTAGTTTCTAAGCAAATTAAAAAATAAATCTATTCAAAAACTTTTTCAAGACAAGAAATACCCCTCGTGCCCCTGTCAATAGCCTTAGACAGTCCTCCAGTCTGTCTGCTTAGATGATATGAAAGGTCAAGCGAATGTAAGTGAAGGAAAATGTTCCTAGCAATACTGCGAACACTGTTCTGAGCGACTTTAGCAAAAACTGCATTTCGCAATTCATTGAAGCCAGCTGCACCAGCTCGAGTGGCACCATCTAAAAGCAGTACTTCGGTAAATTGATATATCCATAAAACATATCTCAAACGCAAAACTGGTTCAATCAAATAATGCAATCCAAAAACTTACAGGCAATAATAAGTAAAAATCCAAGGGACACAATAGTTTGTGCCGGAGAATCCAGTGATAGTTTTAAAAAATCGGGGGCTTTCCCATTGTAATAATTAATAACATCTTTCAACAGAAAAGGTACGACTACATTCAGCAACTAAAAAGTCAATCGCATTTATTTTTTTGAAAAATATCATCTGAAAAATAATATTATCAACCGGAAAAGAAGTCATTTTCCCTTAACTTACATAAATTTAACTTGACGAACTGCTTTTTCTCGTCCCTACACTAGTGCACTCTTTACATTCAATAAACTTATTCAAGAAAGTACAACAAAATCTACTACCAAACCTTAGCTCCAACAAGAAGTGCCATAGCAACAAGGACACGTCTCTTTAAATGCCAATTCCCTTTCGGCCAGACATACCTTAACATTTTCCCAACCAACTCCCATCCACCAATCTGCTTTCCACCCATAGGCTGCAAAAAAACGTTTAGTACATATATAATTTGAAAAATTAAGAACCTAATAAGTTTATTTTCACAATCAAAAACGTAGTTCCATTTATAAATCAAAAAGTAGACAGAAGAAACATACTGCTAAAGGAACTAGATTGCTAGCACCAGGGTGCCAATCGCGTAAGGAAGTCCGCAAGCACGTCCCCCATAATAAAGCAAACCCAGAATTCCGAGCTGTGTTATTCTTTTTGATCGCATTTGAGAGGTTCCGCTGAAAAAAACTTGACTGTCACAAATGAATAAAAACACCTTGCTTGTTTTCAATGGTACATCCCAACCAGCAAATGAAATAACCATGATTATAGAGTCAAAACTAAAAGACAGTTAAATAAAGTATTGAATATCAGAACAAGGTTATTCAAGAAGATGCTGCTGAAAGAAATAGCTAAAAACCTAAGAAAAAAAGCACTAAATTGCTATACAAATAATAAGTGCAAAAAATTATGGTATTAAAAAGTACAATTTAAGTACCGCACCGAAATAATTTTAGATTGCCGAACTGAAAGATACAGCCCTTGCCTTAAAATGTTGCGCAGGCAGCAATTCATCGTTGGTTTCAGTTATAGACCCAACCAGTGGGTCAACGCCTCGTTGGAAACCTAAATTTAAAGGCAAGCGCTGTTACCGTTGAAATGTTTTTCCACATAACTATTTCAACGATCCACGGCTAAATTTATTGAATCACGCACTGGAGCATTCATCAATTTGATCACAAGTTTCAAAGGTTAGAATTTGTTTGAAATCACATAAATGATCTCAACTTTTTTGCTTGTCAGTAGCCAGCTTATAACTTTAACTCTGAAAAAAAATAATAAACTTTTTGAAGGTTCAGATAAGTTTAGGGTCCTTAAAGATAAACGCACGGTTCTTTATTTGCCTTTTTTTCTGTCTAGACCATTCAACAGGATGAAAGTGAAAGACGATTTTGACACTGCTGCAGTTTATGCTGTTCACCTCCAAGCAAACATCTTTTCTTAGTAAATCCATTCAATTTTTTTGTGGGCAAGGCTGTAACTCCGCTCTGTTCCACTACTTCAATTTCAGCAGTATCTTTGCACTACTTCTCTGATTCTAAGCACTTAGTTTTTAGGTGTGGTTTGACGAAATTACAGCTGATTGGTGCAGCTCTATGAAGATAAAATGTGGTATAGTGCCTGAAGATTCAAGATCGCAATTTTAGCCTCGCAATTATATGTAATTTAGATTCTCTCCCACACAAGCTTTTTAAGGAGAATTTCCATGTTTTTTTTTTGGTCACCTTATGTAGTGGATAAGCGTTTATGCACAAATAGTTAAAAGAATTTTAATACATAAGTAACTCTGGATTGACCAAAAATGGTCAAAAAAAAAAAAAAAAGGTTAAAACTCTTCTTTAAAAGCTTGCAACATTGATGGATCTGAACTCTTCATATACAACAGATCACAGTCGCTAAATCCAATGCCCAACCTCCATATACGTAATTACCTTCCAAACGCAAATAGAAAGGTTATGTGTGATACACAGCAATTTCTCATCAGATATATGAAGTTAAAAAAGCTATCCAAAGATACCGCTATAAGCAATAGCAGTGAAAAAAGCTAAGTTAAAAGCAAAATATACAAAAAGTGAAAGTAGGTCCTCTGCGGCGTAACACATGTTTAGTGCGGGTGCGATAAACCGCCACAGCGACAACTAGTTTAATGCTCAAAGTTTTATGACCCTACCAATAGGGCCAACATGGGTCAATCAATTGTTTATGACCCTACCAACATGGGTCAATCAATTGTTTATTCGTGGTTGAATTTTTAAGTGTAACAAATGACCAGTTACATCTGATACAATAAGGAAGGAATAAGTTTAAGGAATGGAAATGAAAACCAAATTCATTTATTTCGTCGCAATGGGATGGTAACAGTTAAAACCGATGGAATAAGTGCACTTAGATTATTCGAAATCATACAGTTACAATATTGCAGTAGCCGTTAATCAACGAGACCAAAGCAAAAGCATCAGAACACCGGTTCATCTACAGCCATTTTTTTGAGTATAAAGGAGTCAGCAGAAAACGATTTATATTTGGCCATCTTATGCTTGCCTTTTTTTCAAGCAGCAAGTTTGTGTCAGCACATTGTCATACAGTCAGCTAAACCACTAATGCACCAGTTCTACACTGTAATCGAAATTCAATCCAGCTCTTATCTCACCTAGAATATTCTTTAGTGTAAGTGCTAAATGGTACAACAAAATGTTCGAGACTGCACGAATCCTCATTGCAGAAACTTATGACGCAGATCGTTTCTAAACTGTTCCAAAAAAATGTTCGGCAGAGAGGATTACAGTGATATGGCTGGCTGGTAGCCCATAAAATTGTTGGCTAAATTTCAAATTATTACTGCTCTATTTGGCTTATCTTCCAGAGTTCCTTTCTTTTTTTTTGACGTCACTGTATTCGCCAAAATTTTTGCTCGATAGTTATCGCTAAGTTATATATTGACTAATGAGACTCGGGTGCAAAATTTATTTGCTGTAATGTGACGTTAGGGCTCATTTCTT